ATTTATTAACAAAATGATTTTAACCTGAAACCTTTCATTAAAAACTATTTTAGAAACTGATTTTTGAATATTTTACCAATAAATTTTTAAATTTACGAGAAAAAAATTTGATTAAAACAAATTTACTTTTTATGCACTCCCAATTCCCAAACACCTTACAAAATCAGTTAAAAGCTCGCGTTCTGTTCGATCTTGATCGGAGTCCGAACTCTGTTAACTGTTAGGCGATTGGTTCGTTTGCAGTCCAAAGTCCAAACCCACGAAATACCAATAATGGGCCCAACTCCCAAGTCCGCAGGCACACGGTTCATTAATGACCGGCCCAAAAAAATTCAGCATTAATGGATTAAAAGAAAAAATGTGTGTCGACCGCAGAAAAATTCCAGTTATGACTAGGAAAACTGAAACCAAACACTAGACCATGTATATTACAAGAACGTCTCAGATCTAAGAGGCGCGCATATAGGAATAGATCCAAACGAGAATCGACTTTTCTCTTTCATTTTCCTTTTGGTTCTCGAGAAAGACAGAAAGGAAAATGGAACGGTTCATCAACAACTTGCCTCCTATGGATCTGATGCGCTCCGAGAAGATGACGTCCGTGCAGCTCATTATTCCCGTTGAATCCGCTCACCGAGCAGTCTCCTATCTCGGCGAACTCGGTCTCTTCCAGTTTCGCGATGTATGTCTCAGCTCAGATCCGATTTGATTCCTCTTCAATTCGCTTCACTTTTATATGTATAAGTTCTGTTTCGTTTGGATTAATTGGCTTGTTGCTTGGATCATAGAGGAAATTAGCATCTGAAGTTTGTGTATCTTGCTGTTTTGCTTAGGGAGAATAGGAATTTCATGTTGAGTAGGCCATCTTCAGGTGTAGTCAAGGAGTAGACCTTATGAATCTCGTTTTTAATTGCATTTCATTGAAGCATTATTTACTTTTTGGATTCGAGGTCATGTGGATTCATGAGCTTCTGGATTCATTTATGTAAAATAATTGCTCTGGTTTGGTTTAAGAGATTCCAGAATTTTGGTGTAACTACGGTTCAGAGATATAGCCTATATTTTTTTTTGCAGATGTTTGAAGTTCTTGCTTGTGGCGAATATGCATTGTTTTTATCGTGGACTGTATCATTTTATACTCACTTTAACTTTCCCGTTAAAGGAAAGTAATGTTTAGCTTTTTCTATGAACTTAGCTTAACTTTGATGAACATGTGCAATTCTAGTTGAGTGCAAAAGCATGGTTTCAAGTCTTTGGAGCAATTATATTATGCAAAATTTTAAGAATCTGAACCATGAAGTGAAAATATGAGTCACTTCCAATGAATTAATTACGTTGGATGCTAATTTTCATCAATCTTTCTCCCCTTGGCAGTTAAATGCTGATAAGAGCCCATTTCAACGAACATTTGTTAATCAGGTATGTCCCCAGCCCTATAAATGAAATCTATTTCTTTTACCAGAAATAGATAATTCGTGATTCTGTTGGTATGTCTAGCCATGACATAATAGTAGGAGATAATTTGAATTGTTAATTTAGTTTAGTGTCTGGTAGGAAAGAAACATTAGAAGTTGCCAGTTGTATACAATATGCCTTCCTTGGATAATTCATTGTATTAAACACTCTGGTTTTCTAGTGAATTAAATTGAATATGTTTCCCGTTCCATGTTTATTTTATTATCACTGTTAGAGTGATGATGACCAGGTTTAGTTGTAAGATATTGATCTCAATAACTTTTTTTCAGATTTTTTTTTTCTTTTTTTTGGATAATGTAAAAATGAGTAGCTTTAACAGGTAAAGCGGTGTGGAGAGATGTCAAGAAAGCTTCGGTTTTTCAAAGATCAAATCAATAAAGCTGGTCTGCTGTCTCCAGTACGTCCTAATTTGGAGCCAGATGTTGAACTGGGGGAATTAGAGGTTCAATTATCTTCTCATGCTCTTGTACTCCTCACCAGTCATTTTTTTCTTCTCCTTTTTGGCTGACTTGTTATTTTCCTTCTTATTTATTTATTTTTGTGCCAGCACATGCAATTGCTTGAAATTCATATAAGCTTGTCAAAGAATTAAGCCTGTCTGATGTGGTTGTATTTCTTTCCATTTCAGCTGCAACTTGTTGAGCATGAGCATGAGCTGATTGAAATAAACTCTAACAGTGAAAAACTACAGCAAACATATAATGAGCTGCTGGAGTTCAAGATGGTATTGCAAAAGGTATATTCTTGACTTTTATTGCAATACGTTAATTACATCTACAATTTTTTTATTTGTTCCAGTTAGTGATTCTTGTTCTTCCTTATTCGAAGCAGTAGTTTAAATTTTAATTATTCCAGCACAAGGTTGATTTAATAGTGAATCCTTTTCATAGCTTAGCAATTAGGCCTGTTCTCATTTTGTGTCCTCTATGCCTCTGTTACATATTTTTTTCTGGGGAAAATTCCAGGCTGCTGGTTTTCTTGTGTCAAGTAATGGTCATGCTGTTGCAGAGGAAGTGGAATTAAGTGAGAATATATACTCAAATGATGATTACGGTGAGACAGCATCATTACTTGAACAGGTATCAATCGATTCTGTGGTTCAATTGCCTTCTTTTGTGAACCTGTTTTTTTGTTTTTGTTTTTGTTATGTTTTTTTTTTATTTTTTATTATTATTATTTTTATTTTTTTTCCCTTATGTTAGGACTATTTACTGTGTAGGAAATGAGGCCTAGACCATCAGACCAATCTGGCTTGCAATTCATCAGTGGGATTGTTTCCAAACCAAAAGTTCTTAGATTTGAGAGGATGTTGTTTCGTGCTACCAGAGGCAATATGCTTTTTAATCAAGCGCCAGCTGATGAAGAGATCATGGATCCTATGTCAACCGAAATGGTTTTCTCTCTAATCATTGCTACCTGTTATCTTTTTAACTAGACTAGATGATTGTTTGTTGTTTGGTATCATTCTCTCTTTTTATTTTATGTAACTGTGCTGATGTTTTTTCATTGGCCTTTACAGGTTGAGAAAATAGTCTTTGTAGTTTTCTTCTCAGGAGAGCAGGCAAGGACAAAGATTTTGAAAATCTGTGAAGCATTTGGAGCAAATTGCTATCCTGTCCCTGAAGACCTTTCTAAACAGAGGCAAATTACTAGAGAAGTGAGTGACTGTCATAGAGGTTAAATGCTTTAATATTTTTATGCATTAAGGAAAGGACTGCCGCAAAAGTGTGTTTCTTAGCTGGTGTGCAATGCATGTGCTTGTGCATGGCATGTTTCTATTATTGATAATACAGTTCCCTATTAGATCCTTTTTTTCGGCCTATGTTCTGAATCAGATATTATTTTCTTTTTATTTGATCATAGTAATGCACAAAATGACATGTCGTTGATTCTTGATGCAGTTCACATGAGAACTACAAATTTTCTTTTGAACATGTTGTTCTGGATTCTAAGAACTATGTGTAAACTGTAACTCCATTCCATCTGGTCTTTGCTAGTTGTTTTGTACTCATTTATAATTCTCTACATATGCTGTTAGAGAGAGTCAATTCTGAATATATATTTTTTCTTTTTGGTTGAAAGTTTTGGTTTTGTCTGGTAGGTCTTGTCACGTCTATCAGAATTGGAAGCTACTTTGGA